GGGACTACAGGTTTCCACCACAATGCCCAGCTATTTTTTTGTTGCAGTTGTCATTGCTGTTTAGCTAGCCTGGGCAGGGCTTGAACCTGTGAGCCTGGGTGTATGTGGCTAGCACCCTACCCACTGAGCTATGAGCACTGCCTACAAATCAATTTTAAAAATTAATTTTATTTTGTCGCCCCCAGTAGAGTGCCATGGCATCATATCTTACAGCAACCTCAAACTCTTAGGCTCAAACAATTCTTTTTTTTTTTTTTTTGAGACAGAGCCTCAAGCTGTCACCCTGGGTAGAGTGCTGTGGTATCACAGCTCACAGCAACCTCCAACTCCTGGGCTTAAGCGATTCTCTTGCCTCAGCCTCCCAAGTAGGTGGGACTACAGTTGCTCACAATGCCCAGCTATTTTTTGGTTGTAGTTGTCATTGCTGTTTGGCAGGCCCAGGCTGAATTCAAGCCCACCAGCTCTGGTGTATGTGGCTGGTGCCTTAGCCACTTGGGCTACAGGCGTTGAGCCTCAAGCAACTCTTTTGCCTGAGCCTGTGGAGTAGCTGGGACTAGAAGTGCCTGTCACTATACCTGCTATTTTATTTATTTATTTACTTAGAGACAGAGTCTCAGTATGTCACCCTTGGTAGAATGCTATGGTGTCAAGGCTCACAGCAACCTCAAACTCTTGGGCTTAAGCAATTTTCTTGCCTCAGCCTCCCAAGTAGCTGGGACTATAGGCACCTACCACAATGCCCAGCTATTTTTTTGTTGCAGTTGTCATTGTTTTTTAGTTGGCCCAGGCTGGGTTTGAACCCACCAGCCTTGGTGTATGTGGCTGGAGCCATAACCACTGTGCTGCACATGCTGAGCCCCACCTGCTAGTTTTTTGTTTTTTGTGTTTTTTTTTTTTTTTTAAAGAGACAGAGACTCACTTTCTGGCCTTTGGTAGAGTGCTCTGGTGTCATAGCTCACAGCAACTTCCAACTTCTGGGCTTAGGCGATTCTCTTGCCTCAGCCACCCGAGTAGCCAGGACTACAGGTGCCCGCCACAATGCCCGGCTATTTTTTTGTTGTAGTTTGGGTGGGGTCAGGTTTGAACCCACCACCCTCGGTATATGGGGCCTACTCACTGAGCCACAGGTGCCGCCACTCGCCTGCTATTTTTTAGAGATGAGGTTTTGCTGGTCTCCAACTGGTGAACTCAGGTGACCTGCCTGCCTTGGCCTCCCAGAGTTCTGGGATTACAGGAAAAATTGATATCTTTTTTTTTTTTTTTTTTGCAGTTTTTGGCTGGGGTTGGATTTGAACCTGCCATGTCCGGTATATGGGGCCAGTGCCTTACTCACTGAACCATAGGCACTGCCTGGAAAAATTAATATCTCATAAAGATCACATTTGACCTCATAAATGTATATAGTTATGATTTGTCTGTCAAAAATATCAATAATAAAAAAATTAGGGTGAACATGGTGATTCATGCTTATAATTTCAGCATTTTGGGAGGCCAAGACAGGAGGATTGCTTGAGGCCAAGAGTAGGAGACTGGCCTGGACAACATTGAGTGATGCTGTCTCTACAAAAAATAAGAAGAATTAGCTGGGCAGTAAGAGGATTGCTTAAGCCCAGTGAGCTATGATCCTGTCACTGCACCACAGCCTGAGGGACACATTGAGACCTTGTCTCCAAAAAATAAGGCAGTTGAT